CTGATGTAAATGACGAGTTGATGGGTGCTGACGAGTTGATGGGTGCAGCACAGCAACATGGCACAAGTATACATATGTAACAAACCTGCACATTATGAACATGTACCCTAGAACTTACAGTATAATAATAATAATAAATAAATTTAAAAAAAAAAACGTACTTTGAACTAGAGAAAACAGTGCTAGTGATGAATACTATAATGTCTTTTAGATTTGTACTGGAAGGAAAAGAAATTCGTATCAATATGTCTTGTGCAGTATTTATCACCATGAATCCCAGGTGAGTATCACTGAATATAGTGGGAACAGACACAGACAAAAATCATTTTCTTAAATCTTATCTACAGATGGAGTTGCTTGACATTTGCATCCGTGCATGCATCTGCCTCCATCATCCTCTGAACACTTGCATTCCCCACACCATTTATGAACAGCTGTACTCTGCACCTGTTCATATGGATAAGGATAATCTCACATTCATTAAGCTACTGATGAAGACATATTTTTACTTCATGAATACCCAGAGAGAAAGGAAAAGGGTCAGCAGTTTTTCACAAAGAAGACACAGGCAGAAAAACTGATGAGAGTGGCAGGAGGAATAAGACAATAGTGGTTGCAGGGAGTGGAGGTTGGGCAGATTCAGTAAATATCTGATTGAATGCTGTAATTGTCCAGAGAATCAGAGGGAACTAATATGAGGTAAATTGTGGGAGGAGGAACAGGAAGAAAATATGATAAACCAAGAAGCTCTGTAAGATGAAAGGTTACAGTAAAAACTATCTCATAAACTAATTTTCAGATAAAGATCACATAGAACACCAATATGATTATTTTGGGGAAAAGTATGTGATTCCTTATTTGAAAAATTGAAAAGTGGTGTTTTTATTGTTTGTTTTTCTTTTCCTCTTCAGATACAAAGGTGGAGTAGAGCTCCCAGATAACTTAAAATCTCTGTTTCGCCCAGTGGCAATGATGGTGCCCCATTATCAAATGATTGCTGAAATAATATTGTTTTCATTTGGTTTCAAATCTGCAAAGTCACTCTCTGAAAAGTTAACTAACCTTTATGAATTAGCGTGCAAACAGCTCTCACAACAGGTAAATAGCTAGTTTTCTCAAAATATTTAAAGGTGATTATATAAAAATAACTTTAAGTAATACTTTTCTGGTATTGGTCCAGGGATGACCTGGGACTATACCAAAGAAGGGAGCTAGAATTCCTATCAACACATCAAAATAATGGAACTAGAATTTCCGTCAACATGTGAAGTCCATGTATGAGCTTCATATAAGGCAAACTGTAAAATCATTCAAGATTCTAAGTCTTTCCTCCAAGATCCGGAAAGAGTAATTGACCATTTGTTATTTTTAAATTACGGACTATTTTTTTCCATACAAGGAAGTTAATATCTAGAGCAATTATTCTCAAACTTTATTCTATACCATAATCATTTGGAGGATTTGTTAAAACACAAAATGCTGGGCCTTACTCCTGAGTTTCTAATTCTGTACATCTGGTGTGGGGTTCAAGAATTTGTATTTCAGACAAGTTCTAAACTGTTACTGATGCTGCTGATCTAGGTTCTACACTTTGACAATTATTGTTCTAGCATATGCCAGAGTATTTGTTGCTAATGCAAAATGGTTTGGACAGCTAACCACATTTTCTCCAAAAGTCCTCCTCTTTTAATTTTCTTTCAATTTATCTCATTCTAGTTCAAAGAAAACTTAATTCAGATACTGATGTTTCTTAACACCTTTAATATTTGTTAGTCTTTAAGAGTGAGACTTTGGGAGCATCACTCTGGGAGATAAATGAGAGCATTAGCAGTATAACCAAGGGTTTTTTGGATTCATATCACTGTTTCCCTGCATAGCATAGATTACCTGTAATTTGTTTTCACATTTTTTCTTTAGAAACTTTAATAATTCAAATATTTTAATGTTTGATAGGATCATTATAATTTTGGCTTGAGATCTCTGAAGATAGTTTTAATAATGGCTGGAACGAAGAAACGGGAGTTTAAATGGTCAGTTGAATTTTGAATTGTTAGGTCAAAGGGCAGTTATATATTGCTGGGAAAATAATTTGTAGAATTACAGGTGATGATGCCAAGTTAAAACAAGGAGCCCCCTAGACTGTCATAGTAAAGTAAGGCAGAGATTATTTAAGAATATGAAGGAAGAGTAAGAAAAAATGCACAAAATCAGAGTACTTTTTCCCAATAGAGAGCCTATTCTTTAAAAAAAAGTGTTTTAGATAATAAAAGATACACTAGAACAAAAGACCTCATTTAGAAGAACAATAACTCAATGAGAAATGTAAAGCCTATATGAATATACCTATGTGACAAATGTGTAAAACCCAAATGAGGAAAACTTTAAAACAGGATTGAAAAAAATGAAAATGTATTTAAATGAAATAATATACCACATTAATAAAATCATAACATCTTAAAGGACTTAACATCATAATGATTTAAATACTCTAAACATTAATTTACAAATGGAAATGCAATCTCAGTAAAATATTAAAAGGATATTTAGTTTGTTAATTTGCTTGTTTTTAGGCAAGCTGGTCCTAAAGTTCACATGGAAAAATGAGACTAGCTAGAAAAATATTAAAAAGCAAGAGCAATGAAGGGGAGATATCCCTTTATGTATTAAGACATATAACAAAGCTTCAATAATTAAAACACTGTGGTACTGGCTCATGAGTAGAAAAGCAAACCATTGGAACAGTATAGAAGGTCCAAAAATAGAACTATATGCTTTGGGCATTTATTATATCATAAATCCATGGGGAAGAATAGACTTTTTAATGAATGCTTCTGGGAAAACTAAACAGCCATCAGGATAAAGATCAAGTTGGAACCATTGTCCACATCATTTACTAGGATAAACTCTAAAAGGTTAAAATAATTTAAATGTAAAAAATTTAAATGTATTTGAAGAAACAAATGTCCTTTGTTCTTGGAGTATGGAAGATCTTTAAAACTAAGACTCTAAATCTAGAATCCACAACAGAAAAGATTTATAAATGGTCAAAAGTACGTTTTTTGAAGTCAAAAGACAATTGATAAACTAGTGAAAAAATTGTAACTCATATTACACATAGCTTATCCTCTTAATATATGAAGATTTTCTAAACATTTGGGGAAAAAATCAACAGGAAAATGGGCAAAAGACATCAACAGATAGTTCTTGGAAAAAGAAATATAAAAGTGCCTTAAGTATATGAAAGTACACTCAACCCCACTCATAATGAAAGAATGCAAATTAAAATGACACTGAAATTCTGTTTTTCCCTTAACAGATGGGCAAAAATACAAAGTTGGGCAAAACCTTGGTGAAACTGTAGGGAAGCGGACATGCTTTTTCCTTTCTGGGTAGAAAGGGACAAGATATACCTTTTCATATTGGTATGACTGGGGCTATATTCTTGTACTGCCTATTTAAAATGAAATAAAAAGATAAATATGTTGCAAAAGGATATATCAACATGTTAACTATTTCCCTTTTAAAACATAATAATATGGATTGCTTACAGATACATACACATACAATAAAAAAAAAAGAGAGCAAAGGATAGGGGATAAAGCTGTAATAATTTATTTCTTAAAAATAAAAGAACTGAGGCATATACTGCAAAATGGCCTGTATAATATTGATGGCATGTAAATAGGTGTCTGTTGTTAAATGTTTTATGATTTTTTAATAAAGATAAATGGCACTCATATATGAAACTCAAGTATAGCTCCCTGATGTCCTCAAGTCCTCTGGATTTTATAGTCCTATAGTCACCTAGTTCTTTACATAAGTATTCCAGTGAAAGTAGTACTGCTCTCCATTCAAAGCACTTGATTGTCTTCAAATGACAGGAAATCTAAAGTTCTCATGGGCACCCTTCAATTAGAGTTTCCGTTTCCAGTATACAGGAAACTGTCTCCTGCCACTGAAAGCAGCTCCCTTCTCTCTAGTCTGTGCTGCCCTAAATGTGACAGCTCCATTTCTTTGATTCCTTTAAAGTACCACAGAAGCCATGTGATTGTATGAAGATGACTATATTTTAAGAGGGTTGATGAATTTTTTGTTATCAGAGTAAAGCACAGTGAACAACCAAAAAATTAATATTAGACAATTTTACTTTTTGAAAGTTTCTTCACCCTTCTTGACACCAAAATAATAAGTATTGTTCTTACCTGTTTCCTCTTCCCTTCCCTGTCTCTTCCTTTCCTTCTGTCCCACCCTATTCTTCCTAAGGCCTCTGACCATATTTCTTAGCCACCCAAGAATACTACAAATTTGTCTCATTTCCCTAGCATAGTAATTCATCCCTCCCTTTTATTTCTACTTTTTCTTTCTAGCTCATGTTGGAAGAACTTAATGTTAATTCTCAAATATACTTTCAGGGTGTTTAAATTAAAACAGAAAGCAGTGTATTAATATCCTTGGGCTGCCTTATAAAATTATGACAAAGTTGTGTCTTAAAATAACAGAAAAGTATTTCCTCACAAGACCTGCGGCCAGAAGTCTGACATCCAGGTTGTGAGTAGGGCTGCTTTCTCTCCAGAGACTCTTGGGCAGATTCCATTTCTTGCCTCTTCCAGCTTCTGGTGGTTGCCTGCATTTCCTGGCTTATGACCACAGCACTCTAATCTGTTATTGTTCCTTCAAACTACAGGAAACCGAACGTTTTCAAATAGTCACTAAAGTTACATAACCTTAGCTCTAGTCAGTCAGTGTATGGCAGTTACTTGACACAGTGACTCAAAGGTAAACACATCGTCACATCACCCACTCCTCTGTGTGTCCCTGCATCTCTTTGTCTCTTGTTAGGATACATGTGATTTTATTTACATCTGGATACTCTAGGATAAGCTCCTCTTAAAATCCTCAATCACCTCTTTTGCCATATTAAATAATATTCAGATTCTGGGGATTAAAAAGTGAATGTGCCTTTGTAGGGGGCATTTTTTTTCTTTTAAGGGAAAGAAGCAGTTTTCTCCCTCTTTCCTTTAAAATAATTTTCCAAATCTTTTTGTTTAGAAAACAAACTAATTATACAATAGCTTAAGTCCAAGACCCTTGTGGTAGGAAAGATTTTCTTGGCAACATCTAGAGAATTAACATCTCTTCAAGTATCCACTTAAAAGATTTATGGTCCTTACCACAATGTTGGGCCACAAAGTGGGTCTCAACTAATTCCAAAAAAGTGGTATCATGAAGACAATCATAATGGGTGCAACAAAGTTACATTAGGTATCTTATTCTTAAATTTTAGTTAGATGTTGACATTAATCTAAAGCTTTCATTATTTATTCTTAAGCTATGACAGATAGACCCATTGGTAATTTCACATGCCGTTTCCAAAATTACTCTTTTTTGTAATATTTTAATGAGGTGCTACCTTTGTCCAGTAACAGCATATTGTAACAATATTATAATATTTTATTTAAGCTATTTTCTCTCCATATGTATATTTAACATTTGCCCTACTACCAGACATATTGGTCTTCCCTGATTTTTTTCATTTTCCTTTAAGATAAAGCAAGATCTGTCTTGAAAACAAATATTAAAAGGCCATTGTCATTCCCTAGGACCCCAGCAATAAAGTCTGGAACCCTTTTCCATTCTGATGTGGCCCCCTCCCTTTGACTTCAAGTGGACTCTTGCCCTCTCTTTGCCAAAATACATTCAGAAGACTCAACGAGGTATTCTCAGGGAAATGTAAATGACTAAAGTCAATTCCAACCCAATATAACTCTCCCATTGTAATAATAGAGTGGTTATAGGAATACAATCAGTACAAAATTACAGATAGGAGGAATGTTTTCAGTTCTATTGCAGTGTAAGGTGACTATATGTAGTTAACAGTATTATATATTTCAAAATAACCTGAAAAGAAGATTTTGAATGTTCTCACAAAGAAATGATAAACGTTTGGACACCTTTGCAGGGAACGGTTTCTATCTCTTCCTTTCTATCTCTAATATGGTATCATAGCATGTATAGTTATTTTTCTTCTGATTACATGTTTATACAATATATGCTGAAGTGTTTAGTATGTGAAATATTGTTATTATAGAGTAACATATGTAGTATAACTTAGTAAGCTTTTGTTATGATTAACAGAAAACTCAATTTGGCTTAAATAGTAGAGGGAACTGTTGTTTTTATCCAATCAGAAAATCCAGAGATGGAGCAGAGTATGATCACTTTGACTAAGGTTTCAGTTTAATTTGTCTGAGATATTCTCAGTACTGCAGTCCTCCATACACTGGCTTGCTTTCAGGCTGGCTTCGTTTTTGGTGGCATGATACCTTCTAATAATAACTGGGGCTGTCCATATTACTGAACTAAAGGCCTGAATTTTACTCTGAGTGGACTCGTCACTTGTCTACCCTTGAGTCACTGTGTCCAAGTGACTGCGATAGACTGATTGACTAGAGCTGAGGTTATGTTACTTTAGTGAATATTTGTTATGCCATATACTTGATTTTCCAAACTCTCTTGTAACTGTGGCTTTGACATACAACCTTGGCAAGTCAGACACAGCTGCATTAGAATCTGAACCTGAAGCTAGTGAAAAAAGAAATGGATACACACAGAGACCATTCTGCTGAAGGTGACAGCAGTGGCAGTAGCTATAGCCATTTACCAGAAATAGCAGAGGCAGTGAACAGTTCTAGTGCCAGCATCAGTCATGTATTGGTATGACAGTCACTGCTATCGGGATCCATTGATGATAGACATGTTTTCATAAGACCAGTTCCGTAGATGATTTTGGCCATTGTTCTCAGCTGGATAGCTTGCAAGCCTAGTTCTGGCCCTCCTAGAGATGTTTAAATAAATCAGTGTGTTATTTTTTTATTTTACATTAGCCTAAATTCATTTCTGTTATTTGCAACTAAAAACCCTTACTGATATAGTAACTTTCCCTGATTCGGTGTCTGGGGATTGGTGTTGCTCTTATTGTTCTAGACCAGTCAGAGCCTATTTCTGGAGCTGGGGATCTTATTAATTCCACCCAAACCATATGGCTGCTATCCAGTGAGAGAGAGGAGGGAAGGACGTTGGAATAGCCACCCCTAAGAAAGAATGTTAGTGGTCTTTAATGTCTGCAAAGCAGATTCGCTAATTTGTTCTCTATGTTTGTTTTCTTCTGCCATTAAAGTGATACCAGTGACAATCTTTCTGAAGCAGATGAAACCTTGATTGTTATCGAGGCTATAAGAGAAGCTAGTTTGCCAAAATGTCCTCCTGAAGATGTCCCACTTTTTGAAAATATTATAGGAGATATTTTTCCAGAAGTGACAGTTTTAAAAGTAAATCAACTTGCCTTGGAGGTAAAAAGACCTTTGAAAATCATCACCGCTTATTTGGATGTGGAATATCAATTACGAAACTAGATGTGGATTAAAAATATTACAGTTCTTCCTAAATTACGTATTCATGTGGTAATTGAGGGGATAAAAACACTTGGAGATATATAGTGCCCCTTGGGGAAAAAAAGAGCTTTCAGTATATTATGTCCTAATGGAAATAAGAATGAACTGTGTACCTTTAGGCAAGGATGATCATTATATATTTTGTTTCTCAATTTTTTCATCTTTTGAAATGAGGATAATAGTTTCTGTTCTTCCCACTTTGAAAGGGTGCCTAGAGAATCAAATTAGATCAGCGTTATGAAAAAACTTAAATTGTAAATATTTTGTAATTATTAAAATTACATATTATAATGATAAAGACCTTTGTTGTTTCTTTTATGCCTATAGCCTCACAGTCATTGCCTTAGTCTAGGTAAGAACTCAATGTCTCTTGTTAATATTTTTACATAGCTTCCTGCCACACCCTGCATTCCAATATTTTCCCATATGGCCACCAGAGTTGTTTTCCTAAAATATACATTTGATCACGTTAGCAAAGCAACTGTTGGATTAATGTTGCCTGCAGTACAAAATTGAAATTAAGTATTTTGGCATATAATGCCCTTCACAATCTGCTGAACCAGGTTGTCTTTTCAGTATATCCTGTTCTTCCTTCCTCCATCTCTTCCTTTCTTCCCTGTTCTTTCTACCTTGAGCTTCTGTTCTCTAACTTTTCCAGGATTTTATCAGGTCTCAGGCCATTAAACATGTTGATTCCTTTCCCTGAAACCCAACCTGTCTTCAAAAAAATTTTTTTAAATTTATTTAGAAAACAAACCACTTCATAATTATTTGTTCTTTAAATATAACTAATAGGGCATGTACGTAACTTTATACACAACAAGCACAGAATTCATATTATTTCTGAGCACACATGAAAAACTTACACACACAGAAAGACCATTCATTAGGTGATGTAGGAAAGTTTGAAAGACTCCCTTGAAAACCATCTGGACCAGGAGTTATGAGAGGAAAGCTCTTTCATGGTTCTAATCTGTAAAATTAAATCTAAAATTTATGAATTCAAAATTTATGTCTCTTCTAGTATCAATTTTGTTAAATAAGACAGATACTCCCGTTTCATTCAAGTTTTAAAATATGAATATAGAGTTGAACAAACCACTATCTTAAGATTCTTTCAGTTTCATGTTTCTGAGATTATTTTCTCAATCATTTCTTATTTTCCTAATTTGTGTTTTCTTCCTTGATTACATCATCTAACAGTTTATCTGATATATTATTTTTTCTCAAAAAACTAGCCTTCTTTCTATTCATTTAATATATCTTTTATCTGTTTCCAAACTCTTTGGTATCTGTTTTAAACTTTTAAAATATCCTTATTCTTCTGGGTTTTGTGTTTTTATTCTGTTTCCAGCTTTTTTAGTAAGAAGTCTAATTCATTTGTTTTCTTCTTCTTTTTACTAATATAAGCTTGTAAGATTTTCAAATTCCCTCTAAGTGCTGCTTTAGTTATATATACCATAAGTTCAGATATGTAGGAATTTCATAGTCATTTTTCATATTCATATTCATCCTGTTGTGATATCAAATACTAGGTCTTATACATTCTATTTTTTTTTTTTTT